CCCCAAAACCCCAAAACCCCAAAACCCCAAAACCCCAAAACCCCAAAACCCCTCATGCTGCTAAAAATACAGAAAACAAGGAAATATATAATAAATTAAATACTATTGATTCTGCACAAAATGATACATCGCTTTGTCAATTGGATGCTGTGGGGAACAGATGACTGGAAAGCAGAGTACTATAACAGAATGGGGGATTGATTCTACTTCAACTTCCGTACATTCCAGATAATACGCACGGTCTATTTGCTAGTCTTCTTATTCTTGACATTCTTCATGCTGTATTACGATCTTAGGCTGTTTATTTTCTTCATCCAGGATTGGAAGATGGTATTGAATTGATTAGCAATCTTCTTTATCTTTGCATTCTCTGGAAAGCAAAAGACTGAAATTCTATTCAGGACAAAAGTAAAGACTATTTTGTAAGTTTTCATTTATAACCCCTGTAGACTTACTAATAAGATGAGTGATGAAGGAGACGAGGAAGAAGAAGTCGAAAGAGTCAGAGCATATAAAAGTTGGAAATCTGTAATCCTACTCTATGAATTTGCACAAGCACTCAGTATTTTCCATACTATCATGTTCTTTGGATTCTGGAGAGAGAATGTGCTAAATTATTACGACTCTAATGAATACAGTCCTTCAACAAGGACTCTTAGAGTGATTCTTCTGTATGTCATTAACACTTTTCCTCCTGCTTGCATGCTCTTTGATATGGCCTTCAGCAAAATCTTATTTAGACTTAGACATTTTTGGGTTGGACTACTCTGCTCAGCTATCTTCCTTGGGATTCAATATCTTGGAAAGACTTCAGTGATCAGCGATGAGTTCCCAAAAGGAGTTGAGGATTTGTCTGGGATTTGGCAAAGAGCTGCTGCTCTTGGTGGCTACATTGTGATTCATGGAGTTTTATGGTTATTTTCCTTGATCAAAATTAGAATTACCAATAGCCCTACCTACTTAGCTTCAAGAAGAAAGACTCATTTTGATAAGGACGTCAGACTTGAGTATGTTATTAAAAAGTATGACAAGCTTCTTAAATCTCAAGAAAAACATAGAAGAGAATATTTAAGACTTGAAACTGGTGAAGAGAGCTCTTGTGATATCTATAACGAAGACAACCCTCAGTTAAACTTCATGAGAGAGGTACTGTATAACTACTTGGATAAAGAAATCAAACTTGAGAGGGTCTATGAACTCAGAAGTAATTAGTATTATATTCAACCACTTCATTTTTACTTGGGGTTTTGGGGTTTTGGGGTTTTGGGGTTTTGGGGTTTTGGGGTTTTGGGGTTTTGGGGTTTTGGGG